TAGGAAAAAGAGGATTTCAACTAGAAAAAGGAAGAGAGAGAGAGAGAGAGAGAGAGAGAGAGAGAGAGAGAGAGAGAGAGAGAGAGAGAGAAAGAGAGAGAGAGAGGAGGGGGTGGGGGCTGAGGGTGGACGAAACGTACCTGGTGACTGGTGGCCATAGACGCCTTCAAGAAGAAAATACTCCAAGACTACAAAGGGAACAGCATTTTTCAACGAAGACTTGCTCGCTACGCCTCTATACAAACTGGCGTGGAGAGGGACTGACCTAGGTCAGGGAGGCTGGAGACAAAATTCCTTGTTTAGAGAAGAGCCTGCCCTCAATGTGCTACAGGATAGATGATATGTGGTGACTGAGGGAGAAGACCGCAAAGTCAAAGTTGAGAGGGAGGGAGAAGACTGCAAAGTCAAAGTGGAGAGGGAGGGACCAGAGCACATTGACGGCATATGAGCACTGGGACTTTCCTGGATGCATCTGACCGCAATTAGGCCCTGTGCTGGATGTATCTTCCCACAATGACATCCAGAGTTCATCCCCGAAAGGTCCTACCGAGTGCGAGTATGCCCTGAGACTCTTCATATTAGGGATCATTGTTTGTTCCATCATGTTTTGGAAACTTTCAGTTCATTTCTCTGTGTCATCCCCGATTGAGCTTAGCTTTCTTTTTTTTTTTTCTTTTTTTTTTTTCAACTGTTCAGAACAGATCCTAGACTGGATCTTAGGCAAAAGGCGGAGAGAAATTGCGGCGAGATTCCACGAGAACCAACATATAATTTCAATGGGTATCATGATACTATCATCATTTGACATTTTTTGAATTTTTTTGAATTTTTCCAGATTTCAGGGTTGCAATAAACCAACCGGAAAGGGCAATTTAAAAATTTTACATTCATGCATGCATTGCGTACCTGGTCCAAGAGTGGAGTCGGTACTTTCACATGAATCTGAAGTCTCAGTATGGACAGATCCAATTGGCGGCAAGAGAAATAGCACCTCCACTCTCCCATAAGGTGCTCCTCCATCTGCTTTAGTGTCGAACAGTGTCCCGACAAGAGCATCGTCCACCAGCAAGCCATCATCAACGGCTGAGATAGCATAATGTAATCGCACACTCTCCTTGCTGATTGCTGCATCAATGGCTGAGCGCAACGAGTACCTTCTTCCCAACTTTTCGGAGATCAAGGGCATCCTTTAAAAAAAAAAAACAAAAAAAAACACCAACACATTAGGAGTTTAGATTCTTTGGAACGCATGCCCTTATGCTTATTCTTCACCTGTACGAAAAACTTTGCAATTAATAATAATAATTATGAAGTACCATTACGAGCTCAATATATACCAGTGTTGTTTTTTGTGAGACTACCCAGATCTTAAATCATGTACGCATACTAAGTTAACCAGCTATGCGATGGATGTGAGGAGCATTAACCCCTTTTTCGTTTGGCTTCTGAAGAACGAAAAAATCGTTAGGATGTCCTTCAGGGCATCCGTTTCAATTGGAATGATACCGAGAATCCACACGATTAGCATGACCCCTGCGCTTTCAAGGATGACACATATAAAATTATAAATAGAAAAATATGGTCCAAACTTTCTCCAAATTGGAAAAAAAAAAAAAAAAAAAAAAAACGCATGCCCCAGCATTCAAGAAATTCAGGAATCAATCCGAATCATCCGAATCAACAAATTCCTTGCTGAAGATTTGAAGAAACTCCATGGTTTGCATTGTTATTCTGCATAACGTACTTTTTTTTCAGATTTTTTACTTTTTATTTTTAATGGTCCGGACATTTCCGGACCTGCTTACCGGTCCGGACCGTCCGGAACTATGCATGTCCGGGGTCCGGATGTGTCCGGACGTCCGGACCCGACCAGACACGCATCCGGTCCCCTGGCATGAGCTGTCCGGGTCCGGGTCCGACGTAGCCATGGTTATTGAAACGGTTTTCACCTTTTAGCAGTAGCGAATGCAGATCCCAGGGCTCGATCCCTAGTTCTCACCTTACCTGTGTACAGTATCTGTATCGACCCGAGTGTTTGAACCCGTGACCTGTGTTTTGACAGTTGCGGTTGTCTGTCGTAGGTCTGTGTAGTGGTAGGGGTTCGATCTGTAGGTCTGTCGAGTAGGAGTCGCAGCCCTGTAGAGGTCGTAGCTGTAGGGACCCTGAAAGGTCAAGGTCGTAGCTGCTACAGTACTCGAAAGGCCAAGTCCACGAACTTCCGGAAGGTCCGGAAGTGGCCTTTCGAAGCTGCTCACGTTTGAGACAGAGGCAAGTGGGCAAGTGGTGGAGTCTATCCGTGCTGAGTCAGCAGTCCCTAGACCAGTCCAGCAAGTACCGTACAGGACTGTGTGCACCACGGGCATGGGAAAGGGCCAGACCAACGAGCTACAGAAGTATAAATTGAGGGGCAGCGACTAGCCATTCATTCATTTCCTGCGTAAGCCATGTGGAAGCGCTGCCATAGCGACTTGTGCGAGGTGGTCTGCAGTGAGGGCGAGAAGAAGCTTAGCCATAGCGATAGGGTAGTAGCGGCCATAGCCGCCATAGCTGTAGATGTGTGTGGGTGTGTGTGAGTGTACATAGGGTGATGTGTGTGGGATATCCAGGGTGATCCTGTGTGGGAACAGCAGTGTCAAGTGAGTGACGAACAGAGAATTGTACAGGCGATGTGCTGCCATAGCCAGTTGAAGTGAACTTGTATCTAAGCTGCGTTCTGGGTTACCATATCTCTGAGTTCTGAGTGGGTGCTTGACGCCAGTTTGCTGCGCAACCTGTTTGCATGCATGTGAAGTGTGAATGAAAGTGAGTCTGATTGCATTATGAGTAATATGAACCATTTTTTTTTTTCTTCTTTTTTTTTTCTTTTTCTTTTTTTAAGGTGAAGAATCGACAGGTTTAACAGTATGAATGCTCCAACATATCCAGAAAGCCCTTTTTGGGGTCCGATCCAGAATGCCGTTCGGAGAACCAGTGCTGGCGATTGAAAGTTTCCCCCCAACTGTTCATTCTATCATTCAAGGCTTTGTCTGCCATTGATCTTCAGGGTCAGACTAGCAGAAGTAGTAGTAGTAGACTAGTGGTATAGATTCCATACGTCAGGGCGTAAGCCCTTTTCTCCCGCACGGATTGGGATTCGAACCGGCGACCTCGGCCCCAAGAGCCAAGTCTCTTAACCACTAACTACAGGGATCAGAGTCCATACACAGACATGATTGGCGATCAGTGGACACTAACTGAACTGAACTACACACAAAGGAATCACAAAATCCCACCTGACCATTCGTGTCCCTTGTGGATGGACCTTCTCGTTCTTTTCTTTAGACTTTAACAAGTCACTGGCGCATCGGCACGCCAGGTCGGGCGATGGTATGTGGGCCGGAGGCACAAACGACCCTCCAAAAAGAAAGAAGTCCAAAAAAACACAGAAAACGGAGAAACAGCATGGGGCTGTCCGTAGTGAAAGTAGTTGGGAAAGTAAGGGCATACTCACTAAGGGACATTTTACTATTTTTTCAGATGCATGGAACTCTCGCGTAATTGCAGTCAGATACATTCAGAAAACATTCAGAAAAGTCCAAGGGTGACTGTGCCCTAAGGAAAGTCGGAGTGTCTCTGCCCTAAGTCGCCCCAAGTCCCAGTGTGAGTATGTCCCAAAAGGTCCCAGTGTCAGTATGCCCTAAGGAGGAGCTGATTGGCCGTAACTGCGGTCAGATGCATTACAAAAAAAATCCCAGTGTGAGTATGGACCAAGGAGCTGTCCGCCCGTAACTGCAATCAAATGCATTCAAGAAATACCATGCAGCATAAGTATGCGCTTAATTTCAAAAAAAAAAAAAAAAAAAAAAAACAACGAGCGCCATGGTGGTTTGCTTTCAACTTGGCTTGGAGGTAGCGGTGATGGTCTATAACCGTGTTTGATCCATAATACTTTCTTTTCTTTTTTTTTTTTTTTTGTGGCATTCTTTCTTCCTTATGTTGGTAACTTCGTAGTCTTGTGTAGTGCACAAGAATGCACACGCACCTGATGTCGACCTTGTATCTATTGGAGCAGCACCTCAGCGATCCCAACACGTTCCCAAACTTCATTTCACATGGTTTCATTCCCACTAGTGGGGTTGTCCCACTGCCAGATGGACAGCTCTTGCATGAATACCTGCAAATCATTCATTCATTCACTCATAAGGATAAGCAACAGAGTAAACAACAGAAGCGATTCTTACAGTTTATTGGCCAGTTCCTCTCCCCCCACCCCCCACCCCCCTCCCCTCACACACAACGCAGCCTATTTGACCTGCAAGTGAAATCTCTGAGAGCATACTCGTGCCTCTAGGCCCCTTTTTTATTTTTTATTTTTTATTATTTTTTATTTTACACCACTAGTACCTCGCCCAGTGTTGGGAAATTAGGGAAAACTGGCAGTTTTCCCTAACTCCTGAAAATCCGGAGGCCGTGCCCGACGACGGCTGCAATTGATAAATCTGATCGGCGGCGGTCGTTTCGTTTCAGCCATCCGAAAAGGTCAGAGGCCCACCCGAGGCCCGCTATTTTCCCACGCGGCAAAGGTACTAGTGGTTTAAGCAGCCCTCGTTGATGCTAGTGGTGCTGATAAGAACAGGCACCACTAGCATTCCTTGGGGAGGCTCCATCTATTGGTGGGGCGCCACTACGCCCTTATTGTCGCAGGATCGCAAAGTCGGCAGCCAGATTGAGTCCTTCTAAAAGGAGGACTCAATCAGGCCGACGATTTTGCGATTCTGCAATTATAAGGACCTACTAGTGTGAGGGCATACTCACACCCTCACACTAGGACGTTTGACTTATTCATGGACGTAGCCGCTGTCACATACATACAGGTCCAGTCGTAGCTAGATCGAGCGACCAAGCAGGTTTAGTAGGATGGGCTGCTCGTATCACCCACTCTATTCGATTCTGCAGAGTCTTAAAAAAAAAAAAAAAAAAAAAGAGTAGAGATTCTAGAGAATCAAGAGATAGTGTGAGCACGGCCCTGAGTACACTCTGAGGACCCCAAACAGCTTGGTCGCTGTGACTGATAATCTCATCGGTCATCGGGAAGGGGTCTCTGCATCTGCACAACGTGCAGATTTCAAGCATCCTTTCAAAAGACAAAGAGCTATCGATAGCCTATTGTAGGTGATAAGCTCTATGATAATAATAATTTTGACAACTTTCACAAGTTCATATCCAACACCTACGATTTCTCTGAAACGGAAATATTCCAGCGGCGACCACAATAAAATAGTTCTCTGATTTACAAAGGATCCGACGGCGTGCTGATGCCTTGGCCGATGCCCCCCCGAATGCTGCGTGTCCCTCATGTTCTAAAACATACACCCTCAATGTCGCCCGGGCCAAATAATGGTCGTGCCTGGGGTGGGGATGCCGCTGGGCCGAGAAATCCAGCGTTATGCTGGTTCAGGAACTTGGCTGCTGCGCTATTTTGGAGACTCCCTGCTGCACCATTTCGAGACTGCAGCTGCGCTGCTCATCGGCCATGAGGCACAGCGCTGGAGGAGTCCAGCACCGAGGAGGGTAGTGGAGA